CTCTGGGCAATCCACCTGCATCTACTCCTCATCCAGATGCCGCTGTGACCACCGCCCAGCCGAAAAAAGCCAGTGGTAAAAGATCAGCAAAATCCACATCTCGCTCAGCTAAACGCCCAGCTCTACCGGCACAAGAGATATCTCCTCCGCATTCAGCTGTCTCTCTCGATACTAATCAGCTGCTTCTTTCTGCTGTTCACGATTTATCCCAAACGGTTAAAGGGTTACAGTCTAAGATGTCGGTTTTCGAAAATTCTTTTGGCATCCCTGACCGCAGCCCAGATCCCATTACAACCCGGCCTTCATTTTCCGGTAGCATCTCAACAAACATACCTTCTACATCGGCCTCTCTGCCCGCTCCTCTCCTTGGGATTCAGTCGTCATCTCAAAATGTCTCAGCTCCACCGGCTTCTCCCAGCTTTAATCTCTCCTCATCTATACCAGCTCAAGCTTTTGGTAGGAGTTTCGTTCCTCCCGCTGCTGCTACAGTATCTCCACATCTCAGGTCAAATATTATCCAAGGTAAGGATATCAACTTGGCTTCCTTACTTCTCCCTTCGCCAGCTGCTGACAGAAAAATGGTGGACTGTGGTGACGTGGCAGTGCTCCTCAAAACTTCAGACCCGCGTTTGCAACGCAATTTATCGTTCGGAGAGTTCGTAATCGCCTTTAGCATTTACAGGGACACCCTATGCCAAGTTTTCCCAAATAGAAGGGAAGAGCTTGACCTTTATCTTTCGATGATGGCAGACTTTAACCAAAGGTACGGAGGCACTTTATTTTATGAGTACCATAAATCATTTTCTGCTAAATCCGCGTCTTGCATTTCACTCTACAATTCAAGACTTGACTGGTCGATCACTGACACTGAACTACTAGTTCGTCACTTCGGCGGTCAAAGAAGTTTGTCGTGTTCTATCTGCAGCGCTCACGGACACTCAGCTGCTCTCTGCCCGAAAGCTTTTACCAACCTTGATTCGGACGCTGTCCGTGGTTCTGTAAATGTAAGACGCAGCTCCTACAGCAGAGGTCGCCCTGCTGAAACATTTTATGACAATCCCATTTGCAATTTGTTTAACGAATCTGTCTGTTCATTGAATAATTGTCGTTTTGCTCATATTTGTAGCCTGTGCAAGGACCCGCACCCAAGATCTGTCTGCCCACGGCGATACAAACCTCAAACCAAAAAGAAAGCCCCTTTTCAGAAGAAATTCCGAGAAAACATCCATCCACACCCATCAACATCCAAAACCTCTCTAGCTACCTTTCTTCTCACCCCGATCCATCATTTGTTGACTATCTCATCACTGGTTTGTCCCAAGGGTTTAGGGTGGGGATACTCTCACCTCTCACCGCATCTTTTTCAGCAAAAAACTTGCAATCAGCTATGAACGAGCCCGGCATCGTCTTTACTCTGCTCGAGAAAGAAGTCAATAAAGGCTATGTTATCGGCCCATACGCCTCTCCTCCTTTTTCCCCTTTTAGGATTAACTCTATTGGCGTCGCTACCCGTAAATACTCCGGCAAAAAACGTCTCATTTTCGACATGTCTTCCCCTCATTCCAGCATAATACCAAGCGTTAACGAATGCATTCCGCTAGAACCATTCTCCCTTCACTACGCCTCAGTGGACAACGCAATACAGTTAATCAAGCTAGCTGGTCATGGCGCTTGGCTGGCTAAAGCAGACATAACAGACGCTTTTAAAATCATGCCCATACACCCTGCTGACTGGCCACTCTTCGGCGTTAAATGGGATTCAAAGTTCTATTTTGCAGTAAGGCTTACTTTTGGGTGTAGGAGCAGCCCTCATATCTTCAACAGTCTCTCGGAAGCTTTGTGTTGGATCCTGCTGAACGTCTGTAAACTTCCGTTCGTTTTGCATCTACTCGATGATTTCTTGCTAATCGATTTCCCCTCTCCACGTTCTTCCATTCTTGATATCTTAAAGCAGGTTTTCAGCGACGTCGGTGTTCCCCTCTCTTCAGAGAAAACTCTGGGCCCCTCCACTATCCTAGAATTTTTAGGTATCTCCCTCGATACGGTTAAAATGCAAGCCTCTCTTCCCCCAGAAAAGCTCATAAGAATCAGATCCTTTTTGGAAAAATTTTCTTCTCTACATGTCGTTTCGAAGCGCGATTTATTGTCCCTGCTGGGCCATCTAAATTTCGCCATGAGCATCATCCCGCAAGGCAGGGCTTTCATATCGCGTCTTCTAACAGCGGCTCATTCCGTGCCTGAACTCAGTAATCCGGTCCAGTTAGACGAGGGCTGCCGATCTGACATCACATTTTGGTCTCGCTTACTAAACGATTGGAACGGCATTTCTTTTTTCTATAACGAGGCTTTCGAATCGTCCGCAGATTTACATCTATTCACCGATGCGGCTCCGTCTGTCGGGTTCGGGGGATATTTTCAAGGGCACTGGTTCGCAGAGAGATGGCCGGACGATTTCCCCAAATCAACATCCAATCCTCTCTCTTCAGCGCTATACGAACTATATCCCCTAGTTGTAGCTAGTGTAATCTGGGGTCCCGAGTGGTCTAGGAAACGAATTCTTATGTTTTGTGATAATGAAGCTACCGTAGCTATCATTAATAAAGGCAGATCATCTTGCCCGATGATCATGCCTTTTTTGCGTCGGCTAATCTGGCAATCTGTCATTTACAACTTTATCATCAAAGCTGCTCACATTCCTGGCCACTTCAATGTTGTCGCTGACGCTCTCTCTCGCTTTCGTTTTCAGACCTTCAAACGGCTCTGCCCCGCAGCCAACAAGGATCCAACACCATGCCCTCCCATGCTCGCCACAACGCTATATTAGAAGATTTGCTCTGCTCAGCTAGACTCTACATATCTAAAGGCGTTGCTCCCTCCACTCTCAAAGCTTATGCTTCCGCCTGGTATTCGTTTTCAATGTTTTGTTTCGCCTTCCAACTTCCTCTCTTTCCTATTTTGATTTCGACCGTTTGCTCCTTTCTCGTGTTCAATTTCGACAAACGTAATTTAAAAATCTCTTCTATTCGTAAACTACTCGCAGGCGTTCAATTCTACGCCAAATATTTCAATCCCGATTCTCCCAGCCTTTTCACCGCCATTCCTATTCGCCTTATGCTCAAAGGCATAGCCAAAACGTCTACTGTGTCCTCCGACAAAAGGCTGCCTTTGACGTTACCTTTAATCCATAGGTTAATAGTTTCAGTTCGCAACGGCCTGTTTTCCACTTATATTAACACTCTGCTAGAAGCAGTTTTTCTAACAGCTTTTTACGGTTTCATGCGTCCAGGAGAATTTACTTCACCTACCAATACATTCGATCCAGCCCGCGGTCTTTCCTTTTCAGATTTATTTTTTTTCCCTAATTTTTTCACACTCTTTCTTAAACATTCTAAGAACGACTCCAAAGGTTCAGGCGTTACTTTAACGATCTCTAAAACCAGTAGCGAATTTTGCCCCTTCTCTTCTATGGCTAAATTCCTTAAAATCCGTCCCAGACATTCCCGGTATCTCTCCCCTCTTCATTCTACCCAACGGAGCACCTCTCTCTCAAAACCGGTTCAGGTCCTACCTCAATTCTGTTCTCAAAAGCTGCAGCTTATCCCCCTCTCAGTTCACTGGACATTCCTTCAGGATTGGAGCCGCTACTACAGCAGCCGAGCGTGGCATCTCTCCAGCTGCTATTAAAATCCTGGGCAGGTGGTCCTCCTCGGCTTTTGAATCCTACATAAGACCAGATTCAAAATCTATTCTCGAAGCTCAGCAAGCTCTCCAGTCATGATCTAGGTAAATTCCTATTTATCTACTGGTGGTGGTGTTTTTGCCAAAGTGGCTGGCACTTTTTATGATAGCATGGTTTAGCTACTAAACCAAGATGGCCTGCGGGCTAAGTGTCTGCTTTAACGGCGTTTCACACTATAGTTCTAGACGGCCCGCGGCCATGTGTTCCATCTAGACGGCCTGTGGCCCACGTGTTCTTCCAAAAGATGGCCTGTGGCCCATGTGTCCTATCAAAGATGGCCTGTGGCCATGTGTCCTATCAAAAGATGGCCTGTGGCCCATGTGTCCTATCAAAAGATGGCCTGTGGCCCATGTGTCCTATCAAAAGATGGCCTGTGGCCCATGTGTCCTATCAAAAGATGGCCTGTGGCCCATGTGTCTTATCAAAAGATGGCCCGTGGCCCATGTGTTCTATCAAAAGATGGCCTGTGGCCCATGTGTCCTATCAAAAGATAGCCCGTGGCCATGCGACTCTTCAAAGATGGCTATATAAAATATATATAAAAAAAAAAAAAAACTAATTCTAATTTCTTTTCTATTTTAGGATCTCCAGGATTCACGACCGGTGGGTTTACTTCCTCTACCGTTCTTTGGGGGTGGGCTCCGTCCCGGTGGATTATTATTCCACCTACTTTTGGGGGTCGGCTGCGCCCCTGCCTTCGTCTTCAGGCAGGAAATGCAGAGTACGGACCCTCGGATTGCGAGCTATGGACGGGGCCTACACCAAAGAACTTTATTGCTTGCTGGGCTATCAATAAATGTATTTATTGTTTCAGTATTTATTCTCCCGAGTCTTTCTGGTAGAAATGGAAGCTCTAGCGTTAAGTTCTGCCAGGAAGACTCAATTGCTACGTCACTTATTACCTTCTCATCTATCCAATCGTGTCTAAGACTTGTGGTATAAAAGACCAGTACTTACACATGTCTGAGTTCGCAGATGCTGACGCTTTCATGCACCTCCATCCTCCCCACCACCACCAGGATGGTCCCTTCCCCTCCATCCTCCATCCTCCCCACCACCACCAGGATGGCCCCTTCCTATACCTCACAGGGGGTCGGCTGCGCCCCTGCCTTCGTCTTCAGGCAGGAAATGCAGAGTACGGACCCTCGGATTGCGAGCTATGGACGGGGCCTACGCCAAAGAACTTTATTGCTTGCTGGGCTATCAATAAATGTATTTATTGTTACAGTATTTATTCTCCCGAGTCTTTCTGGTAGAACTGTCTCTCAAATCCCATACTGGACATTATCGAACATAAATGCATCAATTTATCCTTTCCAAAACATAGGTGGGAAGGGAAAGATGTTTTTCTTGGCTCCACAGTAGGAGGTGTTGAAGAGAGGGATGGTGTGATCCAGAAGGCACGTGCCATCAGACTTTTCTACTTCTTGCAGGATAAGCCTGGAGCCTCTCAATGGCTTCAACAGTTCCAAAATGTTCTGTCCAAAGAAACGCTCAGCAGAGGACTCAAGGTACGTGACCATGTAAAGGTGTTGATTCATGCCGTCTGTACTGTAGGTGCTGTAATCAGATGGACCGTCACAGAATAAACCTACAGTAAAACATATTTTAGACCAAATTATCTGTAAATTGAGTGCTTTATGCATATATGCAAGTATATTTAGATAACTTTCTCAATCTGCTGCAGGTGTCTCGTTTTACCTCAAAGTCCAGACAAGAGGAGATAGAGAAACACACAAAAGATGGCATTCCTCTGTTTTCAATAACTTACTCACTTGCAATCTCCTTCTCAGTGTTATCTTGCATGCGGTAAGAAACAGATATCACACACACACACACTTACACACACACACACACACACACACACACACACACACACACACACACACACACACACACACACACACACACACAACATGTGTTTTCATGTTTTATGGGGACATTCCACAGTGTTCCACATTCCATAATGATTTTTATACTCTACAAACTGTAAATTCTATCCCCTAACCTTTACCATTAACGTTCTGCATTTTTACATTTTCAAAAAACATCACGTGTGATTTATGAGCAGTTTCCCTCATGGGGACCAAACATGTCCCCACATTGTTGGCAATATCCAAAATCTTTGTGGGGACATTTTTCCCCCATAATGTAAGGTTTACCATGTCACACACACACACACACACACTGGGAATAATCATATAGTACTATATTTAGATCTATAGAATATATGGAAAATCAGTGTCTGTCCATCAATATATCTGATCATAAAGTTTTAATTTGTATGTTCACAGATCTATAAATTCTTAATAAAAGTAGAAAGTTGTTTTTAAAGAATTAAATCATTTTATTCAGCGAGGATGTATTAAATTGATCCAAGTAAAAACTTTTACATTAATTGTTACTGTCACGAATTGCGTGGAAGCCAAGGCGGTAGTCGGATCTAAATGCAGCAGGATACTTTAATAATACAGATTTTGGTAAACTCAGAACAGGCAAGACACAAGACACTCGTGGTACGTAAATACATTCAATAACTGACCAAGACAGGGCAGAAACACAGGGCTTAAATCATCAGAGACAAACGAGCAGACAGGATAACAAGGGGGCGTGGATAACAAGAAACACCTGGGATAACTAATGAACAAGACAGGGAACCACAGAACATGACAGGACACAAAACCACATCGTAACATAGCCCCCCCCCCCTATGGGCGGCTCCTGACGCCCATAAAAACAGCAAAAAAAAAGTTCAGGAGGGCGGTGAAGCGGAGGCGGTCTTGGGGGAGGGACTGAGGGCCAGGCCCGTGCAGGGGAACGGGACCAGGAGGTAGCCAAGGCGGGCCTGGGCCGCAGAGCGTGGATGGACCAGACTGGGCCGGTAACCAGGGCGGAGCCGGACGAGGCGAAGGCCAGGGCGGAGCAGGACGAGGCGAAGGCCAGGGCGGAGCAGGACGAGGCGAAGGCCAGGGCGGAGCACGCTTGGCAGGAGACCAGGGCGGAGCACGCTTGGCAGGAGATGAGGGCATAGGAGGCTCAGGAGGAGATAGCACCGACAAGGTCCATGTCAGCGCTGCCTCCATGACCCTTTCGTGGGACCTCCTACTGCCCCCCCCCCAAAAAAAAAATACTTGGGAGAACCTAGGGGGACAACCTCCGGGCTGGCAACGGACTCTGGGACAGTCTCATGGAGCTTGAGAGACATTGGCAGGGCGAGGCGCAGAGGCGGGGCCGGCAGGGCGAGGCGCAGAGGCGGGGCCGGCAGGGCGAGGCGCAGAGGCGGGGCCGGCAGGGCGAGGAGTCTGGGAACGCCCACCGGAGCCTGGCGAACCAAACGAGTCCTCCTTCTCCTCCTGCGACGGTGAGTCACTGGGCTTGATACTCTCACTTGGCTAGGTTCGGCACTTGACTCACTTGTCTCGGCATTTGACTCACTTGACTCGGCTCTTGACTCACTTGACTTGGCACTTGACTCACTTGACTTGGCACTTGACTCACTTGACTTGGCACTTGACTCACTTGACTTGGCACTTGACTCACTTGACTTGGCACTTGACTTGGCACTTGACTTGGCACTTGACTCACTTGACTTGGCACTTGACTCACTTGACTTGGCACTTGACTCACTTGATTCACTTGACTCGGCACTCGGCTCACTTGACTCGGCACTCGGCTCACTTGACTCGGCACTCGACTCACTTGACTCACTTGACTCACTTGACTCGGCGCTTGACTCACTTGACTCGGGTTCGTCGAGGCAGAAGCGACGTGCGGGTTCGGCTGAGCGGGCGAGAAGCGCGGGTTTGCGGAGCGCGGTCTCGGCAGGGCTGGGGTGAAGCGCGGGTTCGACATGGTGGGACCCTGGAATGACGGTCTTCCTGGCAGCACGCGCAGACCTCATAGGAGGATCAGCCACGCTGGAGATCGGTCCCGTACGGCCATAGACCGATCCGGTGGCTGGCTTGATTGCTGGCAAGACGTGGAGCGTGGTCTGAGGGGATACTGCAGGTTCAGGGTGCTTCTCCTCCTCGCCCACAGTAAACGGGGAACCGCTCCACAACAGAGCCAGGTCAACGTACCTTTCCAAAGACCCGTGCGGACCAGGTTCGGGCATCCGGGACCGGAGTGGTTCAGACAAACCCCCGCGGAAGAAGATCTTCAAGCCGTGGGTGTTCATTTGCGCGAGATATGCCAGCTCGAGGAATTCTGCGACATAATCCTCGATGGCGCGATTCTCCTGGCGAAGACGGAAGATCTGGACATCAGGACTCCAGGTCGGCATGGCTGCTGGATCACGATGCGGTGAGTTCTTCTCCTAACTGCTAGATCCTGGGGGGTCAGTTATTCTGTCACGAATTGCGTGGAAGCAAAGGCGGTAGTCGGATCTAAATGCAGCAGGAGACTTTAATAATACAGATTTTGGTAAACTCAGAACAGGCAAGACACAAGACACTCGTAGTACGTAAATACATTCAATAACTGACCAAGACAGGGCAGAAACACAGGGCTTAAATCATCAGAGACAAACGAGCAGACAGGATAACAAGGGGGCGTGGATAACAAGAAACACCTGGGATAACTAATGAACAAGACAGGGAACCACAGAACATATCAGGACACAAAACCACATCGTAACAGTTACAGAAAATGTATATTTTAAATAAATGTTGTTGAACTTTCATTACATTTAAAATACAATATTTCGCAAATTTACAGCTTGTATTAGTACAGCCTTGGTTAGCATGAACTTAATAACTGACCCCAAACATTTGAATGATGGTGTATATTTTTATATACAAATTTACAAATTTTAAAATGTTTCACTAGTAGTCTCATGAGTTTGGACCCTCATTGTATAATTTGGAGAATTGAAATAATTGTCTGCCTATTTTATTCTTAGCGTAAGAGTGGGCTTGGCCAGTATAACTTGTGTCGAGGCTTCCGGTCTCATCCACTTCTAGTTATTTTAGCTGTACAAAATCGGTTTGTTATGCTGCTTGAGAATGCAAAATGTTATTTGTTATCATATTATTTTTAATTTATTATCGTAATCTTAAAGGGGTCATATAATGCCATTTTTGTACAAGCTAATATGATTCTTTAGGGTCTAAATTAAAAGTTTGTAATATACTTTAATTAAAAATTCTCATTAGTATTGTAAGAAAACACTTATTTTACCTGGTCAAAAACAGCTCTGTTTTCAGCACGCCGTTTCAGTGCATATGACTTTAAATGATAATGAGCTTTGCTCACTCCACCCCTCTGTTCTGCGCATACACCGTTTGTAACACAATAACACAATAACCACGCGTTGTTCATTATAAACGTGGGATTATGAATTATATTGAGAACGTTGTACATAGAAAACATGCTGTAATGTACCCTGAGTGTAAACCGACGCATTCATCGTGAAGCGTGCAGCTGGCGATTTGCAAAGATTATATAAATATTAATATAAAGATTAATAAAACGTTACACTCACTTTAGTTCTTCTGAAGGTTCAGCAGGAAGACGAATAGGTTCCGATCCTTTATTCAGGTGCAGCTTCTCAGCAAAACCAGCTTTACACTGATCCTCGTTTATAAAGCAGTCCACTGAGAAATGATTCGGCAAACATGAGAGCATTGACGTTGATCGTGGGGAATATTCCCTTCGAAAACAAACTCAGCCACTGCGTCTTCAGTGGTTCGGATTTAGGAACATTAAAATGACTGCTGTGTTCGTTATTACACCCAAGAACAGAACACCACAATCGCTTAGACGCCATTCTGCTCATAGACAGTGCTCCAGCATATCAACAATGACCGCGCCGATCCGCGCAGACTATGATTGACAGGACGAGCGAGGGCGGGTCTGTGTTGAAACTCCTGTGCTGACTCCTGTCAATCAACAATCGTGGGAGGGGCGTCCGTTTTATTGACGTCACAAAAACGAACGGCTCAATTTGAGGCAGGGGAAAACATATAAGGAGATTAAAACAAAAACACTGGATGGATTTTTATCATTATATGATGATTGTGTACAGGCACTGCCAACACACATTTCAGTACAATCAACTTGTAAAAGTGCATGTACCATTATATGACCCCTTTAAACACACTGGTTTGTATCTTACCATTTATTTTTATTATTCTTCCAGTTATTTAACTGACTGCTAATTACAAGTGGTTTGAATTTATTTCAGTCTCGATAATGTGAGGAACAAGTTCTGGGTCTCTTGCATAGGGGTTCTGTCTGTGGGTCTGGCTGTGGTCTCCAGCTTTGGCTTGATGCTCTATTTTAAAGTGCCGTTCGTAATAACAGTGGCTAATTCACCTTTCCTGATTCTGGGTAAGTGTGTGCCCATGCATAAAACTTCTTCGATTTATTTGGATTATTTTTATGCACTGCAAAACAAACAAACAAATGTATATCTTTGTCTTGTGTTTGATTAACACAAAATGAAATGTTTAGCAGAATGTTCATGCTGCTCTTTTCCAATCTAAAAGTAGTCCAACTCATGTGCTATCATTTTAAAGGGATAGTTACCCCAAAAATGAAAATTCTGTCATAATTTACTCACCCTTAAATTCTCATAGGCATTGGTGTTGATGACATGTTCATCATGATTTCCAACTGGCAACAGACCAAAGTGAAGGATCCAGTGGAGAAAAGAATGGCAGAAACCTTCAAAGAAGCCGCCATGTCTATAACTATCACTTCATTGACTGACGTACTCGGCTTCTACATCGGGCTCATGAGTGAATTTCGCTCAGTTCAGTCCTTCTGCTTGTACACCAGCACATCCATTATTTTCTGTTACATCTATAACATCCTCTTCTTTGGAAGTTTTCTAACCCTAAACGGCAGGAGAGAGCAGAGTAACAGACACTGGCTGACCTGCTGCAAACTCCCAACACAGACCCCTAAAGGAAAGTCTTCGGCGTATCGCCTCTGCTGTGTAGGAGGAGACTATGACCAAGAGACCAGTGCTGAGAAACAGCAGCCCATAACACACTTCTTTAAGTCCTATTATGGTCCATTCATAACTAAGCCTTGGATGAAAGTCTGTGTGATGTTTTTGTGTGTGGGTTATTTGGCTGGAGGTATTTATGGATGTCTTCATTTACAGCAGGGCATTAATATGAGGGACCTTGCAGCTGATGATTCATATGTTGTAAATTATTATGATGATGACAGGAAATTCTTCTCCAGGTACGGTCCAAATGTCATGGTGGTAGTGACCGAAGAGTTTCCATACTGGAATAAAAACAGCAGATCCGCACTAAACCACTGCACGGAGAAACTCCACAACTTGAGATTTGTCAATCAAAACCTGTCCGTCTCCTGGTTAGACTTTTACTTACAATATGCTGAAAGCAAAAGCCTAAATCTAGACAACGAAAACGTCTTCATGGGAAATTTATCCTCTTTTTTAATGCTCTATCCAGAGTTTATGCTTGACGTCAATGTCACAGAAGGCAAAATCAATGCTTCAAGATTTTTTGTCCAGACTTTGGATATCTCTAACGCCAGTATGGAGATAATGATGTTTCATGAACTCAGAGACAAAGCTCAAAATTGTAGTGCAACTAAACTACTGGTGTTCCACCCATTGTTCATCTACTTGGATCAATACTCTGTGATAGTTTCCAGCACCATTCAGAATGTTGGTTTCACCACATCTGTCATGTTGGTTGTTTCCTTGTTATTAATCCCAAACCCGCTCTGTTCCCTGTGGGTCACGTTCTCTATTGGCTCGGTCATTACCGGCGTCACTAGTTTCATGGCATTATGGGGTGTCAACCTAGATTCCATTTCCATGATCATCTTGGTGGTGTGTATTGGCTTCACTGTTGACTTCTCTGCACATATTTAATATGCGTTTGTTTCTAGCGAAAAATCAACTGCCAATGAGAGGGTGATTGATGCATTGTTTTCTCTGGGCTACCCGGTTCTTCTGACCCTACTGTCATGCAGTTCAACCAACACTAAGAAAAAAACAATGACTATGCCTGAAGTTATTCCAAAAGTCATTATACTTGAAAACAAAAGCATGGCATATAATAACTATGCTTTTACTAAAGACAATTTCCATGGGTGTAGACAAACTGTGAAAACACAAAGTACCCAAATATATTGTATTCCAAATAATAAGATGCTTTCAGCTTGGTGCAGTGACCCGGACTGTCCATAGCAACTGAGTCCGCTTTTATTACATAAAAAACATAGTCTGAATTCTTTAATTTCTCTGTAATATACAGGTTACATATTCTTATCAGGTTCATTTAGCAGAGAAAGTGTGTACTTTCTATTGTTACAGTTTGAAATTTCTGAAAATTCATTTCTGCACGATTACTCGAAATGAAACCGCACCAAACGATAAAATCGTCAGAGCAGCGCTGACAACACGTGATATGTGCTGTTCTGTAATAACCAATAAATGCATAATACATAGTAAAACGTAGATTTGTGGCAAAAAAAAAAAATTTGTCGTTTTTTATCCTATTGTTGATTATATTTATTTGCTCGGTCAGTGTCATTGTAGGTTTTAGTTATGTAGGCTGTAAAAACCTTTGAAAATGATATGGAACTGTAATGCCGTCGAGACCTGCCTGAAACTACTTTAGCTGTGAGTTTCCCTGAAAATAATTGCACACCTTAGAACATTCGTCAACCAATCAGAATCAAGCATTCAACAGCCCCATAGTATATACAGTGAGGAAAATAAGTATTTGAACACCCTGCTATTTTGCAAGTTCTCCCACTTAGAAATCATGGAGGGGTCTGAAATTGTCATTGTAGGTGCATGTCCACTGTGAGAGACATAATCTAAAAAAAAAATATCCAGAAATCACAATATATGATTTTTTAACTATTTATTTGTATGATACAGCTGCAAATAAGTATTTGAACACCTGTCAATCAGCTAGAACTCTGAACCTCAAAGACCTGTTCTCATTTACACTGCACACGTCTGCGGCGCATTACGGCTGCGACACGGTTTTATTCCGTCCTTCACACAGTGCCAACTCACACCAGGAGCATTTCAGACGCGAAGCGACTGGATGCGCGAGACCACGTGATTTGCCTGTCCGGCGTGGTTTTTCTTGATTTTTGTGTGTCTACCTACAGTCTATGGATTTTACCAAGGATATATTGGTGTGCAATACAATTGGGATTCTGCACAGGGTGTTTATTATGAAATTGACAGTATTTTTTTTACTTTTATTTTGTATTTACGGTGCGGCTTGGACGCGGCGTCCGTCAAAAATAGACTAGGCGCCTATATTTAGCGAAGCGGCGCGGAGAGCAGCTTCTGGGAAGCTTCTGAAACGCGCCGCTTCGCGGCCGGTGTAAACACACGCATTGACTAGAATGGCCGCGATCAGCTCCGGTAGCCGTGTCGCAGCCGTAATGCGCCGCAGACGTATGCAGTGTAAATGAGGGGTTAGTCTGCCTTTAAAATGTCCACCTCCACTCCATTAATTATCCTAAATTAGATGCACCTGTTTGAGGTCGTTAGCTGCATAAAGACACCTGTCCACCCCATACAATCAGTAAGAATCCAACTACTAACATGGCCAAGACCAAAGAGCTCTCCAAAGACACTAGAGACAAAATTGTACAAAATTGTGGAAAGGGCTAGGGGGAAATTGCCAAGCAGCTTGGTGAAAACAGGTCGACTGTTGGAGCAATCATTAGAAAATGGAAGAAGCTAAACATGACTGTCAATCTCCCTCGGACTGGGGCTCCATGCAAGATCTCACCTCGTGGGGTCTCAATGATCCTAAGAAAGGTGAGAAATCAGCCCAGAACTACACGGGAGGAGCTGGTCAATGACCTGAAAAGAGCTGGGACCACCGTTTCCAAGGTTACTGTTGGTAATACATTAAGACGTCATGGTTTGAAATCATGCATGGCACGGAAGGTTCCCCTGCTTAAACCAGCACATGTCAAGTCCCGTCTTAAGTTTGTCAATGACCATTTGGATGATTCAGAGGAGTCATGGGAGAAAGTCATGTGGTCAGATGAGACCAAAATAGAACTTTTTGGTCATAATTCCACTCGCCGTGTTTGGAGGAAGAAGAATGAGTACCATCCCAAGAACACCATCCTTACTGTGAAGCATGGGGGTGGTAGCATCATGCTTTGGGGGTGTTTTTCTGCACATGGGACAGGGCGACTGCACTGTATTAAGGAGATGACCGGGGCCATGTATTGTGAGATTTTGGGGAACAACCTCCTTCCCTCAGTTAGAGCATTGAAGATGGGTCGAGGCTGGATCTTCCAACATGACAATGACCCGAAGCACACAGCCAGGATAACCAAGTAATGGCTCTGTAAGAAGCAAATCAAGGTTCTGGCGTGGCCTAGCCAGTCTCCAGACCTAAACCCAATAGAGAATCTTTGGAGGGAGCTCAAACTCTGTGTTTCTCAGCGACAGCCCAGAAACCTGACTGATCTAGAGAAGATCTGTGTGGAGGTGTGGGCCAAAATCCCTCCTGCAGTGTGTGCAAACCTGGTGAAAAACTACAGGAAACGTTTGACCTCTGTAATTGCAAACAAAGGCTACTGTACCAAATATTAACATTGATTTTCTCAGGTGTTCAAATACTTATTTGCAGCTGTATCATACAAATAAATAGTAAAAAAATCATTCATTGTGATTTCTGGATTTTTTTTAAAATTATGTCTCTCACAGTGGACACACATACAATGACAATTTCAGACCCCTCCATGATTTCTAAGTGGGAGAACTTGCAAAATAGCAGGGTGTTCAAATACTTATTTTCCTCACTGTATATAAATACTGTGTATATATTATGTGTATTTTATATGTAAATTAAAGCAACATGAAGTATAAAACCCATTTGTATTGTCATCCTACACTTTCAATGTGTTTCAATGTGAAATGTCCAGAGAGTGGTGCTAAAATTGTTCAGTTTTAAACGAAAGAGGTGAATGTGAATCAGGTCATGTTACAAAATCATGCATGTTTTGTGAACCTAACCGACAGTGTTAACAAAAGCAAACATGAGATAGAAAAGCATTTGCTCAAGCAACCATGCCATTTTAATTTGCTTCTTCAAGTCTTTGAGCTCTTTTATCATAAGTCGTGTTTCACAGGACTCTTACCCGGGACTCCACATCGCAAGTGCAATGCTGTACCTGGTGAGCGACCAAGCAAGGTTACTGCATTAGAAAAGCTATATACTGTATATGGTTATATTTGACACCAACTTCGGTTCCACTTTATTTCCATAGTCCACTTTAGACATTCTACTATCTATAAGTAACTTTGCAACTACATGTCAACTAACTGTCATTAGAGTATTAGTAGACTGTCAGTAGACTGTTAGGTGTTAGGGTTCAACTTGTAGTTGCCAAGTTACTTATCGTCAGAATAACTTCTGTTGGTGGACCATCAAAATAAAGTGTTAGCAGATATTAAGCATAGAGTCTACTAATACTCTAATGATGGTTAGTTGACATGTAGTTACAAAGTTACTTATAGTTAGTAGAATGTCTAAAGTGGACTATCTGTCACAGTTCTGTCACCCTTGTCTGGGTTTTCTCTTGGTTTAGTGACAGAGCTGTGACACTCCCGGTTTGTCATGTGTTTGTTTTGTCTGGTTTGTTGAGCACATGGCTGTTATGTTATTTCCTTGTGCCATGTGCTCTCCTGTCAATTGTCAAACCCCGCCCATCTTGTTATTGTTTTATTTTCCCCACCTGCCTGCCTTATTACCCTCTTATGCTTGCTCCCCTATTTAATCTCCCTGTGTTTGCAGTCCTGTGCTGGTTCGTTGTCTATGTTCCTAGTGTTTCCTGTTCCTGCCAGATGTCTGTCTCGTTTTCGCCACGGGGAGTTTTTGTTTGTAGTTTCGTTTCCTTTTTATTATTAATTAAAGATCCTTCTCTTCCAGCACTTGAATCCTATTTGTTAGGTAAGTTGTTTCTAAAAACCCTCTAGTAAGATTGCTCTTTTGTTTATTATTTTGGCCTTTTCCCCTTGTGAGAAGCCTCTGTGTATTAATGTCCCACAATTTTTTAAAATAAACTTTCTTCTGTTTTATTTAAAACCTGGTGCCATTGAGCTTTTGTGTCTGCCCTGGGACCTGGAGACGGCAGTTCTCTCAGCCTCTCCCTGTTTTTTCCAGCCTCCTTTCCTACACCTGGACTTGAAAGAGGGCACGTAACAATGTCTTCATGCAATATTGTCACATTTAGCAGAGCTGGTTGATAATAAAGTTTACATTTTGCAATAATGTAAGCAATCAAGCAGTAGAGATTAGCTATATAGTAGATATTGTTTATAGTTTATAGTGGTAATTAAAGCTGCAGTCCGCAGTTTTTCCTCTTTGTCGCCATCTCTGTTCGAAATCTGCAATTGCAGTCATTCGTGGAATTATCAACTTTACGTGAGTTGTACTTCGACACGACACAGCGCGGATGAACACAATGTTTGAGGAGAGTGTGCAGCTGTCAATGGTGTCGATACTGGCATTCAGAATCACAGATTATTCTTTTTGGAAGTATGACCAACATAATAATTTTCACCGGAAAATGTCATCTGAACAAGTAAGTAACATCCACTTTTGTTCAGGTTCTGACATTGCAGTAAATTGCGCTTATCACACAAAACCGTGCAAATTATAGGCTACTTTGTTCTCAAATTGTTAATGTTAACAACGTCAGCGTTGCGTGACTACATGTATTGTCCTTCCGATATTTATCAATGTTCTCTTATGGGTCCGGTTGCAGTCTCTTTTTTTCTGTAAGTGAGCCACTCCGAAGTCCGAACGAAGTCTTTTGCATTTTACAGCGGGTGAATCTCTAGTTGTCACTGGTGATTGTCGTTTGAACCTTTCTGGATCCGCCATCAAATTGATAAGTTTAATTATATCAAGTGCTGTGAGAAAAGGCTATAAATCTCCACCTCCAACATCCTC